CAAAGAACTGTGTCTGGAAGGAACAAAGCATCTCCTTACGGAGTTGGGAGAACTGGGCTATTGAGCCTCCACCAGAAAGGCTCAGATCTGCAAGCGACAGGTCAGTTACCTGGGGTACCTCCTTATAGACGGGAAAAGATGGTTATCTGAGGCCAGAAAAGAGACAGTGTTTCATATTCCACCACCTGCTAATCCAATGCAAATCAGAGAATTTTTAGGTACTGCCGGGTTCTGCCGCCTATGGATACCTGGTTTTGCTGAGATGGCAGCCCCGTTATATCCCCTCACTAAGAACAGTCAGCCTTTTAAGTGGGGAAAGGAAGAACAACAGGCTTTTAATAATATCAAGACGGCCTTAATGTCTGCACCGGCTCTGGGGCTCCCTGACGTAACCAAGCCCTTCCACCTGTACGTTGCAGAAAATAACGGGGTTGCAAAGGGGGTCCTAACTCAAACACTAGGGCCCTGGAAAAGGCCTGTAGCATATCTGTCTAAAAAACTAGACCCAGTAGCCTCGGGGTGGCCAGCTTGTCTAAGGATCATAGCGGCAATTGCAGTTCTGGTAAAAGATGCTGACAAGTTGACTATGGGACAGTGTTTAGTAATCTCGGCACTTCATGCCTTAGAGAATATTGCCCACCAGCCCCCTGACGGCTGGCTCACAAATGCTCACATGACTCACTATCAGACTCTGTTACTGAATTCAGACCGGGTAACTTTTGCTCCACCAGTGAGCTTAAATCCAGCCACGTTGCTACCAGACCCTGACCTTGACCCTCCTAACCTTGACTGCCAACAAGTGCTTGCTGAGGCACATGGATGGTGGAAAGACTTGTCAGATCAGCCTCTGACAGATGCCGAAGCCACCTGGTTTACTGATGGCAGCAGTTTCCTGGAAGAAGGAGTACGAAAGGCAGGAGCTGCTATAGTAGATGGCCTGATATGGGCACAAACCTTACCTGCAGGAACGTCCACCCAGAAGGCAGAACTCATCGCCCTTACAAAGGCCCTTGAACTAGGAGAGGGCAAAAGAATCAACATCTATACGGACAGCAGGTATGCCTTTGCTACTGCCCATGTGCACGGTGCTATCTATCAACAGCGGGGTCTGCTAACCTCTGGAGGGAAAGAAATTAAAAACAAGGCAGAGATCGTAGCCCTGCTGGAGGCCCTTCACCGACCGCTAAAAGTGAGTATTATACACTGCCTGGGTCACCAGAAAGGGGATTCCCCCATCGCAAGGGGAAACAACTTGGCAGATTCTGAAGCAAGGGCGGCAGCCAATGGGTCTACATCTATTCTGTTAGTTGATGTCCCTAAGCTAAAAAAGCCCAAGTTTAAATACTCTGCTGAGGATGTAGCAGTGATCTCAAGGGACTCTGATAACGACTTCAGTCAGGAAAAAGGGCCCTGGCATGCAGCGTCAGGCAAGCCTATCTTGCCACAAGAACAAGCACGCATCATGATCAAACAAATGCACCAATGGACTCATCTGGGAGTAAACAAATTGGCCCAGACTGCCCTGAGGACAAAATATCATATCATAGGGCTAAAACAATTAGCAGAGCAGATAGTTAAAAGCTGTGTACCTTGTCAAAAAGTAAATGTCTGCAAAAATACAGCGGGACCTGGCAAGAGACTCAGGGGAGACAGACCAGGGATGTATTGGGAAGTAGACTTTACAGAGGTCAAGCCAGGCAGATATGGTTACAAGTATCTCCTAGTTTTTATAGACACCTTCTCCAAATGGGTAGAAGCATTCCCAAGGAAACAAGAAATAGCCACTGTCATGGTCAAGAAAATCCTAGAAGAAATCTTCCCGCGCTTCGGGGTGCCCAAGGTAATTGGGTCTGACAATTGACCCGCTTTTGTAGCCAAGGTAAGTCAGGGAGTGGCCAGACATCTAGGGGTTGATTGGAAATTACATTGTATCTACAGACCCCAGAGTTCAGGACAGGTAGAAAGGATGAACAGAACTCTAAAAGAGACCCTGACTAAATTAACCATGGAGACTCGCGTGGACTGGGTGTGCTCCTTCCCTTGGCCCTGTTTAGAGCTAGGAACACCCCCTCCCGGTTCAACCTGACCC